ACGTACCCGTACCTGCAACTTATCAAGATGGTTGCCATTTACCTTCTAAGGGCAATTTGTCTCCGAATCCAGCAGGCCAATTATGAGGGTGAAAAGGCGGTACACTAGGCGTCGAATGGAATAATGCCGACATGTTTGCGGTAGCAGTGGCTGTCTCTGGGGACTTCACCTTTTGAAGTCCCATCGCGAAATAGGATTGGAACCACATTAATGGCGGTATTGTATGGGACTGGATTTTTTCCTACAGCCCATTAGTCACTTTTAAACTGTAATGTTCTTCGGCGCACGCGCTCTTTCACTCGATACAAAATTGGTAAAGATTTCAAGCATCCATCATTTTGCCTGGAGTGAATTTTTTTCCAGAGAAGCAACAGGCGAGATAAATTTCAACTATTTTTCTTCAGGACTGCTTTGCGTCTGTTTATTCTCCTGGAGTAAATCGCGCTGTCACCTACACACGAGTCAAGTATACAAGGCTATATAATTGAGTATCATTTTACTCATACTTGCACCGGTCAAAGATGGAGGTGGAATTTTCAGAATGCTTCTCGGTCTCCAACAAGTGTGAATCTACCTCAAGATCAGAAAGGGATGCTTTGAGGGCAGTGAACTACGCAGGGACATTTCGTGCATTGGGGCGGTTCTTTATCTTGTTGCCCTGACTAAAGATTTTTTTTGGGGGGGGGGAGTTGCAGACCCTTTCTAGCCTGCAGGGCATTGGGCCGCGAAGGTCCTTTTCTGGCTCCTTCGTGTCCTCCCCGAACCCCATGGGGGTTGTATGATATCGTCAACTTGTTACACGGCCGGCTAAGGTGTCGGCGTTGGATATCTCGGCGGGTCCCGGGGTTCAGAGGCACAGCGGAACCTTGACGGCACGTGCCTGCGAAGTTTACCCGCGCGAGGAATTTGGCAAATTGCCACAACCTCTTCCCCCCCTTTCCTTGTATACAACTACATGCAAGATTTCGTATGATCATCACAAACGGACGGACCGTTTGTTATTACTGGCAATCAGTATCATTACGTAGCCATTTATTTATCACACCATTGCGGTTGTCAAATTTTGTGGTAGTGTCGGCTTCGACACTGGTTTTGGATTCAGGCTTCGGTCCAACGATTTTAGTCCATGTATACGTAACTTGAGGCCAGTCGACGCAATGTAGCTGAATTTTGTCTTCAAGAAACATCAAGCTACATTGAAATCGAGACCAAAATGTGAAGTTTACAAATCTATTTACTCCTGTGGGTGAAGGTTTGAATCCTAGTGTCCAACACGAAGGCTAGCCATAACAATAAAGGTCTGTTTGAACAACAGCCTATTGTTCTTCGCTAAGAGACACTGTGAAATCTAATGACGACAAGGCGTACTTGAAGCTTACCTCAGAAAACAACAGCTTTTAGTTATGAGGACAACAGCCATCCGGAACATTGGCCCCGACATAAAACAGCGCACCACACGTGCAGGGCAGACATGGTAAAGATTTGATGATGAACGGAAAAGATTCCATGCATCACCACTTTTCGCAATATCTGCGAGAGTATCGCTATGCTTGTGTCCAAAACGGGCAGTAGGCCAATTGTCAGGTTTGCTCTGTAGCACGTTGTGTGTGATCTTTCAGTGTTGATGGGAATCAGATCATGTCGTGAATATCGCGAATATCCTTCGTGTTCTTTTTCAAAGAGTCAACACTTTTTACGATGGAGCAAACACTCTCTTGGGGGAAGGGGGTGAGTTTATTAGGGATGAAAAAAAAAGGACAATCGTTTCCGAGAAATCTATCCCCAAAACACACAATTTCAATACTTCACTGGCCCAACATCATCAAACTGATTGTGGTAGAGTTTAAAGAGACTAGCGCCAACTTAGACTTTGGAATCAAAATGGCTGTTCATTAGGTGTGCAGCATAAGCATGCCGCCGTTGTGTTTTACTGACGCGTAATCCACCATTTTGGTTCCAACAACTAAAACACCCATGTCGCAACTCACTCTATAGACAGCTCTGGATTGTGGTGGATCAAAGCGCCATCGGTCAACAATTTTTTTTCAACTCCTTGATTTGGTATGTAACTTTGTCAGACCTGGCATTGACGCCACAGCTCATTCGCTCCATTGAGCCCTTTACTTTTCCGTATAGATTTTGTGTTGAAAAGTCACTGGTAGTCAGCCAGTGTCAGCGGTCCTTGGTCAGACCGCGGGCACCTGCGATCCGGGAAATATTCCTATGCATTATCGGGATTGCGGCTGTGGCTGCCAGTGGCAAGCTACAGAAAGTAGCCGCTTTGAGCACTGCCTAATAGAGACGTTCTCAGTTTTTCCACAGGAGACTTCAGTAAGAGAACTGGAATCGCACATGAGCGAATCACACATAAACCCAGGGTTTCCACGATTTCAACGAGGGACAATCAAACTTTCCGACCCAAACATTGGATCGTAAATACCTTATCAAGCCCAGTAGTTTCCCCAGCCCTGGAGGAGGCTGCCGCCCTTGATTTAGAGCTGCTTTACCCGGTCACGACAGCTTAGCTTATGTGACTCTTAAATTTTACAAATAGCACTACCCCGTTGGCTCAAAATCCGCCACACTCCAACCTACACTCCCATCCGTCTTACACGCTCAGGCGTGATTTCTCTTACCCCAGCTCTTGATGGTAATATCAGTTTTCTGACTCGAGATCAGTGTTCTCACCTTACGACCTTAACATCCCATCACGTACAAGTGACTGTTTTTTACGATCCGTCAATGCGTTGCTTTAGCGAGTCGCAACTGCCGGGTATTATGCGGGGCCCGGATTTATCAAGTGCCGCTGAGCGCTAAAGTTTCTCTGTGCATAGGAAACACAAGCTCGTATCGCATATCGCCGAGCATTCGCTAAGGTAGCAGGCATGTCCGGTGTCGGCCGGGCGTAGTCGGCACGCAATGTTATTAGTGTTGCCTTCTCGACGCCAACTAAGATTCTCCCAGGAATTCGCTGTACACGTAGTGCAAAGTATGGGTCAAACGCTTTTAATTGGTACCCGTGTGCCACTTCTTCATTTTTAAAGAAGACTTTCACCATTACGATTGACTACGAATGTGATGCAGCAGAAAGAATAAATAAGAAATGGGTTGGGGATTGATAAAAAATAGGGAAACAGGAAAGGCATTTCACTGGGAAGCGATTCAAGGAACTTGATTCCAGTACCCGTTACGAGCGAGTACCAGAAACCACCCCGCGTCGCCTGGCAGTCGCCGTTGAGAGAGCGCCCACGTAACCCAGCCAAACTGTTACAGCTCCTCGATCACTTAAAAAAAAACAGCAGAGCATCACCCAAGTTCGACGACCTTAACACTGGGATGTTTTGGCTCAAAATTCTGGCACCTAATAGCACACCCGGATGAGGGAAACGACGAGAGGCCGAGCCGCCAGAGTATGTTGGCGCACGCACCACCCCTGTACGGCCCTTCCCATGGACTAGCGGCCGGTACCCCGCTAACCCAGTTACGAAGACCCGAGGAGGCCCAAATTGCGAGTGGCGACGGAGCGGTACGTGGGGCCTTTCTCTCTCGGTAAAAAGACGCCTGATTCAATTAGTGATGAACGGCAGAGGGCCATAGCGGGAAACCAACTGAGGGGCCAACTCTTCCTTCCAAAGTGAAGTTTATGGGTACGCCCTGGACACTCTAAATGTATAGAGTGGAGTGGGAGACAAAGTGCGGCTTTTCAATAATGGAAAAGACAAATAGGTAAGTCTTTTGGTAGGTACGTTCATATGGGGGCGTGCCCATAATAGCTCAAGGGGGCGCCAAACATTTGGGGAACACGTGACCTCTCTGGAAACCACCTATGCCGAATTTAGTTTCAATTTTAGATATAAGCATGATATCAATCAACTGACAAAACGGGATTTCCACGCGGTGGTTTGAGTTTGCTTTCAATATTTGTGAGCATAAAATTAGGTAAAAGTCCCCCACAAGTCCCAAATTTCTTAAAGATTACCAGACAATATCAATTTGAAAAAAACAAATTTTAAAAAGAAGGAAAATGAGTGACATTTTGTGTTGCATGCCTACTTCAAGGACAGACAAAACACAGATTGTGTAAATTTGTATTAATGCTAAGCGATTCGGTCAAGCATGGTTCATTTAACTCCCTGAATAGATACTGGTGGGCAAAACGAGAGCTCTCTGCGTTCCTCAAAGGTAATTTGTAAAAATGTCGCGTACTATACCTAAATTTTGAGGTTGTATTTCGTCAATCCTCCGACTGAACAAACACGAACCGACGGATGCACTCTAACAATTTAAAAAATACTGACAAAGGAAACGATATCTGCAACGCACAGCTGGTCTCGGCGCCAGTTTGAACGTGAGGCCAACTTCAAAAACAGGGACTTAGAATACACAAAAATGGAGGCATTTGTGTATACGAGTTCAACAAAGCCTAGAAACAAACATCCACCTAAAGGACCTAAGTTTGATGGTTACCTCTCCCACGTACAGAACGCATTTTTGAACCCAAGTTTTATTCTCGAGCAACCGTCAATACGCGAACGCATAACTTTTCTTTCTCAGGAGAAAGAGGGTTTTGAAGTTCTGGAATTCATCTTCCTATTCGAGCGCATTCACAGCATGCATCCACCACTTAACCAATCAAGCCCGCTGCCCACAGACTGGGAAATATCATAGTAAACTGGCAAACGGAAAAATTCAATTCAATTTAGGGATTTGGAAAAAAAATCACCCCTGATCATCAGGGGAGCAGTCTATTTTTGACTCCCAAGGCCAAGACATGCCATTTGGTAAAAAGAAATTCAGCATCGTTAAAGATGATGTCAACTTCGGAAACTTCAACATTAGACTTTCGCCGCAACTTTAACTTCATTTCTTTTTTAAACAGCAAAATATTCACATTTGCTATCTGGATGTAAATGTACGTCCAGGATAAATAAACTGGCTATGCCCTTTTTGTGGCCACAAAGCAAAGATAGTCTGGCCTACTAATTTTTTTTAGCACTCACCATGGTAACGGCTTCAGATGTCTGCAAACTGCACTCATCATGGTATCCAGGTAACGGAATGAAGACAGAAAAATTCCTCCGAAATCGTCTGCCTTCGCGAAAGTATCACAGTATGGGAGCTAAAGAGAAAGCACACGGCAGGTAGACGGGCTTGTCAACCAATAATTGAAGTTCAAGTGTCACTCACGGATAAGTCATACAGCCAGTTAGGAGTCACCGTACACAAGCCGACCTAGTATTAGTGACTGTGTCTATAATGCCGTGTGCGTTATCTATTAGTGCTGGCATCAAGTGCTGGCAGGTTGCTGCTGAATGGCATCATCCATGCGAACAGGAGGACCGTCGCAATCCAACTGTGGAGCGGCCCGTGAAGGGGCCAGGTTTTTGTAGGTCCGGTTTACCGGGCGAGACCGCTAGGGCGCTATTTTAGCGTTACGCCATCCGCTGTTGACTGTAAACTGACTTGGCGACGTCCAGGCCGTAAACACGCACGGGGGCCCGGCGCGGGGACCCGACATCGCCAGCTCAGCCTAGCCGGGGAACATTGAGATTAGTTGGACTTGATTGCAGTAGCGCCGAACTGTCGTCGGATTAGCGTCTGGGAATTCGGGCAGGGGAGACCACGCAAGGGCAGTTTTGGGTTTGCACGAACGCCGGTTGGTGTGCATAGTATAAGGTGGGCCGGGACACATGGCCCGTGACAGCAGCAACGGGAAGAAACATAAACGCGCCCGGGGTAATTGGCCGAGGAGAATTCCGTGGAGAGGGGGATCTGTTGGCGCGAGGAAGCCTTGTTGGTGATAACCTTGTGCCCGATATGTCGGTGTTTTTGAAATAACGCGGAAGTGTTTAATACAGCGACGCAGGCTAGCATTTTCTTTGCATCTTCCGCAGATGCTGTTTTTTCTATTTGACATGGGACAGGAGACGAAAGATGAATGTTTCATTCTCACAGTCTCGGTTTTTTTTCCCAGCATTATCGTGATCACGTGATTCTGAAAATAACTCAAAATGCTCGGGGGGCATCATGGACAACACTAACATGGGTACTGTTTGTCGCCCTCAAGCGGTTCTGTTCAGCTTCTTGAAGATCAGCTCATGTGGGCTGCGGTAAACGTACCGACTTGGCATCAATTCACAAAATTAGGATAAGCTCCAGAGAGATCAAAACTGGATCAATGAAGCCCCTTTATAGAGTGGAGTTGAAAAGATTAATGTAAACAGACTGGCTTTAAACCTGTCTTTTACCCCGGTAATAACAGTTGTCACCTGACAAAGTAATAATTGTAGGTGTTCTTTGTTTCGCTTTATTCTTCTGAACAGCGCCACCATACTGCACAGCACGACCAGCTGTTAATGTCTGTTCTTATACCACGAAAATATTTTTAGTTTGTGTTTCCGGTCCAGTGTTTCGCATGCCCACAACAACGTGACAATCTTGCATAAACGGGCTTTTCAGATTCAGTGAACATAAAAGTACAAGCACGGAAAAAGCCACGAAGGTTTGACTTGAATGTAGGTCGCGTCCTCCGACCATGTCAACCGTCTACATGAATATAATTATTGAAAATGTTGACTTACCAAAGTTATTTTATCGGAAAGTAATTGACCAAAAAAAATAACCTCACCGGAGGGTTCATTCATAATCTTGCCTTCTAGAATACAACGATGAATCTTCTAGCAGCCTATCAATGTTTCATGAGCGGGACGTACAACACTCGTCGTTTGATACTGCCAGAGCATTTCATGCAGGCCTGTGAATCGAATGTTCTCAGAGTAAACTTTTCCAACTTTTGGAATGAATATTTTTGAAGATGTTGGTGGTTATTTTGTACCACTCATACCGGACCAAATACCAGCTCGTCGAGTCACAAAAGGTTATAAGGACTGGAGTCAGGTCTCCCTTTTAATTTTGGGCCTTAATTAATTCTTATTCAAAAAGGACCATACTGTAAGAGATGGACTTGATGTCGGTCGCTCGTACATGACCTGCCAGAACTTCCACATCTGGTCTTACAACATGAAAGTTATCATGTGAATATCTTGATGTCTTAATTAAATGAATTCGGATCTCCTCCAAATCTATCCTTGAAGAGTAATTTTTCTTTTGTACTCCCCAAAATGTTCCAAGGTTAAACTATTAAGCAACATTGTCCTCAAGCCGAACCTCACAAAGAAACACAGAGAAAGAAAGTGGCACTGATTACTGAGAAAACCTGCCCACCGCCGTACGATTCGACCCAACCCAAACTAGATTCTGATGTATGCCTCTTCTAATCCGGATTGGCACCGACATAACGAGACATACCCCGGCGGGCAAAAATCCCCTGACCGAGAAAACGCCACCCAAAACAAACTTTAGTTTGGCACACGCTCGCCGGAGGAAATCCACCAGCTGCTTGCCTGATGACGGGCTTGACCCAAGTGAATGCCGGAAGTACAGGAATTCGGAAGGGTTGTTAGATTCACAACTGCGTCACTGACAAAAGCAGGTCAACGCTATCTAGAAACTATATTCTGAGAACAAGCTTGATGTTCGTTAGAACTCAACTCAAACAAAATACACATAACAGAACTTGCAGGCCAAACTGCGATGGACGTTTCTGTGACCTTAAAACTTGGGTAGTTTTCAACCGGTTTGTCACTCTTTGGTATTTGTCTATTTCTAGTGGGAAAATTCTGAATGCTATAAAGAGGGCTAATTAATAAAATTAAAGCAAATGAGCGTACTCATGGACAAATCCAAGATTTTTTACTGGGGGTACTACAATTGGTGAAGCCATTTACTCTCGTTGTGACCCCTAAATGTTTATGCTTTTTTACTTGTCTTCCAACCCTCAGACGTAGGGTCAGAAAAGGCAATGAGCGGGGAGGGGGTGACCCCACCCCTCAACATCCGCGCCAAGTACTGCAATCGAAGATGGGTGTTCACCAGTACATAAAATTGAATGAAATTTCCAGCACTCGATTGGAACAGTCTTGCCCATTGCTTCCAAACCTGACTCCAACTGTTCTCGCCCAGCGGTTTGTGGTTACCCCCCGCGTTCCCCTGGGTTCTACCATAAATCCACACCAAGATCAGGGAGAGAAAAGGCGTCAAGCCACAGGGGCCTCAGAGGTGTCAAACCCGCTGCCTGAGGGTGGAAACACGACGCATGGGAGGCTACTGGTTGTGTGGCATGGCTTTCGAGGCGGACTCCATTGGTATTTTTTAGGTTTTCAGTGCTGGCAGAGCCCTGAGGGTGAAAGCTGCCAATTCGTTGCCGACTGGTTTCAGATGACAACAGAAAATGCAATGTCATTACTTTTGCGACTGTACATTCTATAATGCTCGAATTATGATAAATCACAAAACTTTTTAAGTTATTTAAATCAGTTTTCTCTTTCCAAAAGTTCATTTTTCCCCATTCCTTTATTACTTTTTACATGAAGGATAGAACATCTTTTCACCTTGCTGACGGCATTTTTCGGCCGATTATTTTGAGTAATCATACTGATTTCCTGAAAGAACTTTAGCCAAGGAATAGACTTAAGGAAACTTTAATGCCATTGCAAGTGGATACAGTTCATAGGGGGTTTTCTTCGTATTTTTTACTTTATGGATACATTTCTGAGGGCAAAAGTGCCCCCTGTCACTGACACAGCAAATGAGATCTTCCCACTCTAACATCCTTCCCCAAACAAGATGGAAAAGCGATGGAGTACTACATAAGACAAGTTCAGTAGTGTCAAACTTGCAGTGAGGGCGTCCTGCCAAACCGTCATGGCACTCTTTCCATCACGACCAGTACAACTCCTCCAAGTTCCATGGAAGGATTCGAAGACTTAGTCCAAATAAACCCCTTAGGATGTACCTACTCGCACCCCTCCCTCCCTCCCTCCCTCAAAAACGAGATCACAATTGTACTATTCGTCTGAGATGTCCACTCAAGAATTACACACGACAGAAGTCCGGGAGCCAGTCGCAGCCGGTGGCAATGTAACTATGAATGCGATAAATCTGGGGTTGGACTCGAATGAATTGTAGTGGAAAAAATATAATGATAGGCCAGTTGGCTACAGCTACCTCATGTAGTTTGGCCTGTTTGAAGACATGGGCTCGCTTTGGGGTAGGGGTTAGTACGGCTATAGGTTTGTATGTGCGTGTGTAGGGGGGGCAGCTGGCATAGGCTAATTGCCCACTGTGGCTCGCGTTGAAGCTATACTCTCCATGCGTGGATATATCTAGCCCTGACGATACTTCACCCATGGTTCCTTGCCATATCGCAGGCCACCTTTTGGCGAGAAATTTCGAGGACAGTGTTTCACAGATTTACCTATAAACCACTTATAAGTCTGCCCGATGTCAACTCCACTGTTACGATACTCTGCCTCATTGTCATGTAGGCGCTGGCGCAAAAAAACACCGCGCCTTGTCAGCGTGCCGTTGGCGCCCGTGACCCCAGGTCCCGCGGTCCGGACAGCGGGGAAGTAATTCGGGAAGAAAGCAGCAAAGCAGGCATGACATTGAAGGAAGCTAAATATTGTGTATCCTGAGTGGGCTTGACAAGGAAAGACTGCTATTCAGTCATGAGATCAGTCAGCGCTGTCAAAAAGTGTGTTGCAATAAAGTAGCACTCAGAATACATTAAGCCAATCGACACGTTAAGAGCATTGAAGTCTAAAAGACGTTTAGAGTTGGATTTCACCCCTTCCGTTAATCGATTCCAAACACAATACGGATAAGTGGGCAAGAGAAAACAGTGTCTCGAACATCATTTAAAATGCTGTTCAGAGAGTATCAGGGTGAGGTCCCCAGGAAAAGTGTTAACACTCCCCGTGACTGACAGGCCCTGGCATGCAGGCTTCAAGCGTCGATGTCCCCCAAGCACAAGACAAGCCGGCTCCGGTGCACTCCTGGTACACCGCCGCGCTGTCAAGGGTAGAAGGCAGATCTTACAACCAATGGGGACAGTGACCGCCGGGACAGACCGACCCCGGCTGACCCATGGCATCAACGGAAAACTTTCAGAGGGGTTCTTTCTTGGTCCTTGTCTGTTCTTTACTGTTCCTTTTTGCTTTGAGCTTTAAACGTATTCATCGTCAATTAAAGACCTGAAACAATTGGAGTTGGAAAGGAACTTGTTTCCATGAATTTATAGAACCAAAGTGTCTCTGTCATTCTTTATTCTTTAAATCTCATTCCAATGAAAATTGCTTGATGTGTTTATTTGTTCAGGTGGACAGATTTGCCAGTAATGGCCAAGTTTATTAAATTTGAATATTTTCCAAACATTTGAGGACTAAAATTATTGCTGAGCATGCAGTCACTGAATGAGAACTTTGAAACGATTTAAGTTTTTTAATTTTTTAAAAACAATATTATGGTGTCAATGGCTCAAGTTTAGAAACTGTGATTTATGATCAGCATGTGAGGGAGCACAGTTGTGGAATTAGTTTGTTTTTAGATGTGCGTGTTTTTGGATCATTCTGAGTAACAAAATGCCGCAATTATTAACACTTAAACTTCTGGAAAATTTATAAGGGGTTCTGAAAAGAATTCCCAGAATGTGTTCTGTCTGTAATTGTTATGATTTTACCTTATGATTTACGGTTTTTTCATAAAAGGGAATTTCTGGTATTTCGACCGCGACTTAACGGCTCAAGCGGTTGGGAAAGGGACCCCTAGGGGTGGATTTCAGCGGTATTCACCCGTGAACTCCCAAACGTGCCGCGGGGTGTGCAAGTTGCAGGCACAGCAGGTTTGTTGTGGGTGTGCCTGGGGGCAGAGACCGGGCCAGCGGAGACGGGGGCCTCGGGACCTGGCTCCAAGGGGAGAGAAATAGACGCCTTCTGGGATACTAGCAATTAGTATTCGCCTCGGGATACAATTATATTTTATTTCTAGATTGTGTGTGTGTGTGTGGGGGGGGTATTGAGCTCAGCAGCAAGAATCAAGGACACGCTCAACACTGAAAGCGCCACAATGAAGCAATTAACAGTCTTTTGCGATTGGTGGCCGTAAAGGAAGAAAATCATGGAGAAACTCGCAAGAGGGCGCTATGACTTGTCATAGCGCAGCGCTGTGCATTGAGAGGGTTGCGACTAATACTATTTTCACCTTAGTTCAAACTGGCAGGTGTATGCGTACATGAACAGTTGGTATTCAATAGCTGTACGCTGTACCGTACACATAATAATGAACAAACATTTTGTTTCCAAAACCTTAAGTTGGTACTACTCTTTATATCACTTTTGTCATTGTGTTGAAGAACCTTTTTTGTCCAAAAGAAGTTCTCATTCGCAATTGAGAATAAATTTTCGGAATTGATAGAATTTTTCATTAACAAATAATTTTCTTTTTGTCAAGATGTATTTTTGCGTTGGGGAGATGTTAATT